TATGAAATGACTCAGGATTTGAATGATTTCAGAAATTAACATATTCGAAACAAAAAAAAAAAAGCAATATAAAAACATTTCTTTTTTTCAAACAAAAACAAATTGATAGCGAAAAAATGTTGAGATTTTGTTTCAGGTCGCAGATAGTATTCTCTAAGCTTTGTACAGGTGCGGATTGTTCAGAGAAATCTTTGTAATTTCTTTTTCGTATCCAAAAAAAGGTGTGAAAAATTATAAAAAAAAATGAAAATTTGAAAAACAAAATAACAACTTTAATGGTGAAAGTGAGGGTGGAATTTAAAAAAAAAAAAAACAACAACAAAAAAAATTCCTCAATCTAAAATAAGGTTGGATTTAAAAAAATCAAGGAAGGCTACAATAGTTTGTTTTTTTTTAAATATTTTTAAGGGAGCCACAGCCACCATAGCCGTGGATTTTTTAAAAATATTTCTAAGGGAGCCACAGGCGTGAATTTTTTAAAAATATATCTAAGGAAGCCACAGCCACCATAGGCGTGGATTTTTTAAAAATATTTTTTCTTGACTCCAACAAAGGCGTGGATTTTTTAAAAATATTTTTTCTTGACTCCACCATAGGCGTGGATTTTTTAAAAATATTTTTTCATGACTCCACCATAGGCGTGGATTTTTTAAAAATATTTTTTCATGACTCCAACAAAGGCGTGGATTTTTTAAAAATATTTTTTCATGACTCCAACAAAGGCGTGGATTTTTTAAAAATATTTTTTCATGACTCCAACAAAGACGTGGATTTTTTAAAAATATTTTTTCATGACTCCACCATAGGCGTGGATTTTTTAAAAATATTTTTTCATGACTCCAACAAAGGCGTGGATTTTTTAAAAATATTTTTTCATGACTCCACCATAGGCGTGGATTTTTTAAAAATATTTTTTCATGACTCCAACAAAGGCGTGGATTTTTTAAAAATATTTTTTCTTGACTCCAACAAAGGCGTGGATTTTTTAAAAATATTTTTTCATGACTCCAACAAAGGCGTGGATTTTTTAAAAATATTTTTTCATGACTCCACCATAGGCGTGGATTTTTTAAAAATATTTTTTCATGACTCCACCATAGGCGTGGATTTTTTAAAAATATTTTTTCATGACTCCAACAAAGGCGTGGATTTTTTAAAAATATTTTTTCATGACTCCAACAAAGGCGTGGATTTTTTAAAAATATTTTTTCATGACTCCAACAAAGGCGTGGATTTTTTAAAAATATTTTTTCATGACTCCAACAAAGGCGTGGATTTTTTAAAAATATTTTTTCATGACTCCACCATAGGCGTGGATTTTTTAAAAATATTTTTTCATGACTGCAACAAAGTCGTGGATTTTTTAAAAATATTTTTTCATGACTCCACCATAGGCGTGAATTTTTTAAAAATATTTTTTCATGACTCCACCATAGGCGTGGATTTTTTAAAAATATTTTTTCTTGACTCTAACAAAGGCGTGGATTTTTTAAAAATATTTTTTCATGACTCCACCATAGGCGTGGATTTTTTAAAAATATTTTTTCATGACTCCACCATAGGCGTGGATTTTTTAAAAATATTTTTTCTTGACTCCAACAAAGGCGTGGATTTTTTAAAAATATTTTTTCATGACTCCACCATAGGCGTGGATTTTTTAAAAATATTTTTTCTTGACTCCAACAAAGGCGTGGATTTTTTAAAAATATTTTTTCATGACTCCACCATAGGCGTGGATTTTTTAAAAATATTTTTTCTTGACTCCAACAAAGGCGTGGATTTTTTAAAAATATTTTTTCATGACTCCACCATAGGCGTGGATTTTTTAAAAATATTTTTTCTTGACTCCAACAAAGGCGTGGATTTTTTAAAAATATTTTTTCTTGACTCCAACAAAGGCGTGGATTTTTTAAAAATATTTTTTCATGACTCCACCATAGGCGTGGATTTTTTAAAAATATTTTTTCTTGACTCCAAATAAAAATATGAATTTTTATACCCTACACAACTATGTTGTCAGGGTATTATAGCTTTGTGCAGCCCCAAGAGTTTGTAAAGCCGCGAAATATTGGTCTTAGACCTACCTTTAAGAATACCGATCGTCATATCTCGACTAGCTGTGTCGATATAGACATGTGTGTCCGTTCGTCCGACCGTCTGTCCGTTTGTCCATTATAATTTGTAAACACTATACAGGCCACAGTTATGGACCAATCTTCAGCGACATTTTGCATGTAGGATGGGTTCTGGCCAATTAAGACCGCTATTATTTTTGGTAAAGATCGGTTAATATTTAAGGGATGAAATTGACCACAAACTTTATTTTTGTCTGATTTTCTAGTCGCTCTAGAGGCCGCAATTATGGCCCAAACATCTCGAATTTTTACAAGGAGAAGGGAATCGGGCCAAAGAATAAGCATACCTGTTTTGATAAAGATTGGTCAATATTTAGCGGGTCAAATGGACCATGACTTTTGTGTGAAAAATTACAAAATTTGTATTCTATGGCATATATATTTACACCTGAAGGACACAGACCCGAGAGGTTGATAGTATATCCAAGAGGAGTGGTTGACCTTTAAATGGATATCAAGTATATAGGCGTACGTACTCGGATGTGGAAGTTACACTTAAATATTTACAGGTGCTTACGTATTCAGATATTATTTAAATATATTTTTAAGGGAGCCACAATAGAAGTGGATTTTTATACCCTCCATCATAGTATCGAAATATTCATTTCCGAACCTATAAAGAATATATATTTGCTTGATATATATTGTAAGACGATCTAGCCATGTCCGTCCGTCTGTCCGACCGTCTGTTGTAATCACGCTTCTTCTGAAGGAATTGAGATAGGATGCTGAAATTTTGCATACGTTTGTCTTTTGTCTGCAGGCAGGTCAAGTTCGAAGATGGGATATATCGGTCCACGTTTAGACATAGCTCCCATGTACCACCAATTTTCGGTGTTCTGAGGTTCTTGAGCATGGTTTTCAACCGAATTCGCTGAAATTTGGTGCTTTCAGTTCTTATTGGGTACCGAATATCTCCACAAAAAATTATAAATATAGGTCCACTTTTTCTGGTAGCTTCCATATAATGGTACCTCCTAATTTTCAGTATTTTGGGGGGTTTTGATCGCATTTTCCCGCCGAATTAGCTGTAATTTAGTATTTGGAGTTTTTATTGGGTACCAAATATCTCCACTAAAAATTATAAATATAGGTCCATTTTTTTGGATAGCCCCCATATAAGGGTACCCCCCAAATTTTCGGTACTTTGGGGGATTTTGAGCGCGTTTTTCAACCAATTTTTTTGAAATTTGGTACATTGGGTTCCTATTGGGTACTAAATGTCCCCACAAAAAATTATAAATATAGGTCCACTTTTTCTGGTAGCCCCCATATGACGGTACCTCCTAATTTTCAGTATTTTGGGGGGTTTTGATCGTATTCTTCCGCCGAATTAGCTGTAATTTAGTATTTTGAGTTCTGCATAGGTACCAAAACTCTCCACGAAAAATTATGAATATAGGTCCATTTTTTCGGAGAGCCCCCATATAAGGGTACCCCCCCAATTTTCGGTTCAGATTTAGATATAGCTTTCATATATTTTTTCGTCCGATTTAAGGTAAATGGTGCACAAAAGTCCCCAAATATCTTTTGATTTGCAAGAAATTTAGCACAGCGTACTGAATTGAGCCTAGAATGACATGTGCTAAGTTTCGAGGAAATCGGTCCAGATTTAGATATTGCTCCTATATATATTTTCGTCCGATCTAATGTAAATTGTGTACCAAAGTCCCTAAATATATTTCGATTTGCACGAAATTTAGCATAGGGTACTGAATTGAGTGTAGATATACGTGTGCTAAGTTTCGTGAAAATCGCTTCCGATTTAGATATAGCTCTCATATATATTTTCGTCCGATTTAAGGTAAATGGGGCACCAAAGATTCTACATATCTTTCGATTGACACGAAATTTAGCAAAGGGTACTGAATTTGGTCCAGAATGATGTGTGCTAAGTTTCGTGAAAATCGCTTCCGATTTCGATATAGCTCCCATATATATTTCCCTCCGATTTTAGGTAAATGGGGCTCGAATGTCCCTATATAGCTTTCGATTTGCACGAAATTTGGCACAGCGTACTGAATTGAGCCTAGAATGATGTGTGTTAAGTTTCCTGAAAATCGGTCCAGATTTAGATAAAGGTCCCATATATTTTTTCGTCCGATTTAAGGTAAATGGGGGTCGAATGTCCCTATATATCTTTCGATTTGCATGAAATTTGGCATAGCGTACTGAATTGAGCCTAGAATGATGTGAAAATCTGAAAATCGGTTCAGGTTTAGATATAGCTCCCATATATATTTTCATCCGATTGAAGGTAAATGGTGCACCAAAGACTCTACATTTCTTTCGATTTGCACGAAATTTGGCATAGGGTACTGAATAGAGCCTAGAATGATGTGTGCTAAGTTTCGTGAAAATCGCTTGCGATTTAGATTTAGGTCCCACATATATACATTCGTCAGATTTTATGTAAATTGTACACTAAAGACCCAGAGTTTGGCCGACCGGCACACAATTTCAAAGTGGTGAAGGGTATCATATAGTCGGCCAAGTCCGACTTTATTATTTTCTTTACTGGTTTTAAAAATATTTTTTTCATGGCTCCAACAAAATTTGGATTTTTTTATAAATACGTTTTTTTAACATACTATCAAAAAATATTTTTTTCCAGACCTTGAATTGTATTTCATTTCAGTATTTTGTGGTTCTAATCTTTGTTTTTTTTTTTTTTTGATTATTCAAAGCGTGTGTTCAATGATGTCATATGTCATAAGTGAAACCATTGCCCTCGCTTGATAAGCTCTATACAAATACAAAATCAAATTCCAAGAAAAATATTAAATTCATTTCTTTTTATTTTCAGAAAAAAAAAAAAACAAAACAACAACAAAAATGTTGCCACTAAATTATTTTGGAAAAATATTTTTGGCCTTGGTGGCATTGCAAGTGGTGACATGCTTTTCAACACAATATTTGGGAAATGCAGTACATCCAAGTAAGATACAAAAAAAATAATAATAATAATTCCGAATCGATAATATTCAAAGATATTAATATTTTTCAAAATATTCAATTTTTCCTTCCGCTTTTGGGTATAGCTTTGGAAAATCATTGCTTCTATGAGGACTATAACCTAACAATACCCATTGGAGAGACTCAACATCCAACCGATATTGAATATAAGTGTTTTAAAATTCATTGCCGTTCCGATTATGTATTGGAAATTAAACAGTAAGTATTAGCGGATTTTCGCAGAAGAAAAATCATAACTCATTATTTTTGTTGTTGTTGTTGTTTTGAATTTCAGCTGTGATCGTTATCCCAATTATTGCATGGAAAAAGCCGACTATGATTATTCGAAACCCTATCCCAGCTGTTGTCCGAAAATAAAATGTCCCAAAAAATAAATGGACTTCGAAGTCGATGTCGATAAATTTGTTAAGTAATTAGTATAATTAGTTAAGGAATTATTTAAGAACAAAAATAATTATAGTTTTTTTTTTAAATATGTAATTTATTTTATTTATTTTGTTTTTGGAATAAAGATGTGGTATAATATAGAGAAAATAGTTTGTCTTGTTATAGTTAGGGAATTTTTGTGTTCGGTGACCCATAGTGGATTTTTATGTAGAATATTTTTATACCCTTCACCACACTGTGGTACAGGGTATTATGTCTTTGTGCATATGTTTGTAACAGGCAAAAATAATCGAGATAGACACATGGTTCCTTTTGAGAATATGCATAGAATCACTTTCTAAGTCGATTTATGCATGTCCGTCCGTCCGTCCGTCCGTCTGTCCGTCTGTCCGTCTGTCCGTCTGTCTGTCCATGTTAAATTGTAAACAAAGTACAGGTCGCATTTATTATCCGAATTGGATGAAATTTGGCATAGGTCACTTATTCGGCCCAAGGACGAACCCTATTGAAATTGGGAAAAATCGGTTCAGATTTAGATATAGCTCCCATATATATATTTAACCGATTTAATGTAAACGGTCCCTATATATCCTTCGATTTGGACGAAATTTGGTACAGCCTAATCATTTAGGTCTAGAATGATGTCTGCCAAGTTTCGTGAAAATCGGTCCAGATTTAGATATAGCTCCCATATATAGTTTCGTCCGATTTCATGTAAATGGTGCACCAAAATCCCTATATATCCTTCGATTTGCACCAAATTTGGCATAACGTACTGAATTGAGCATAGAATTATGTCTGCCAAGTTTCGTGAAGATCGGTCCAGATTAAGATATAGCTCCCATATATAGTTTCGTCCGATTTCATGTAAATGGTGCACCAAAGCCCCTATATATCCTTCGATTTGCACGAAATTTGGCATATCCTACTGAATTAAGTCTAGAATGATGCCTGCCAAGTTTCGAGAAAATCGGTTCAGATTTAGATATAGCTCCCATATATAGTTTCGTCCGATTCCATGTAAATGGTGCCCCAAAGTCCCTATATATCTTTCGATTTGCACAAAATTTGGCATAACGTACTGAATTGAGCCTAGAATGATGTCTGCCAAGTTTCGAGAAAATCGGTGCTGATTTATATATAGCTCCCATATATAGTTTCGTCCGATTTCATGTAAATGGTGCACCAAAATCCCTATATATCCTTCGATTTGCACCAAATTTGGCATAACGTACTGAATTGAGCATAGAATTATGTCTGCCAACTTTCGTGAAAATCGGTCCAAATTTAGATATAGCTCCCATACATAGTTTCGTCCGATTTCATGTAAATGGTGCCCCAAAGTCCCTATATATCCTTCGATTTGCACGTAATTTGGCATAACGTACTGAATTGAGCCTAGAATGATGTCTGCCAACTTTCGAGAAAATCGGTCCAAATTTAGACATAGCTCCCATATATAGTTTCGTCCGATTTCATGTAAATGGTGGCCCAAAGTCCCTATATATCCTTCGATTTGCACGAAATATGCCAAATTTCGTGCAAATCGCAAGAAATCGTACTGAATTGAGCCTAGAATGATGTCTGTCAAGTTTCGTGAAAATCGGTCCAGATTTAGATATAGCTCCCATATATAGTTTCGTCCGATTTCAAGTAAATGGTGCCCCAAAGACCCTATATATCTTTCGATTTGCACGAAATTTGGCATAAAGTACTGAATTGAGCCTAGAATGATGTCTGCCAAAATGATGTCGAGAAAATCGGTCCAAATTTAGATATAGCTCCCATATATAGTTTCGTCCGATTTCATGTAAATGGTGCCCCAAAGTCCCTATATATCCTTTGATTTGCACGAAATTTGGCATAACGTACTGAATTGAGCCTAGAATGATGTCTGCCAACTTTCGAGCAAATCGGTCCGAATTTAGACATAGCTCCCATATATAGTTTCGTCCGATTTTATGTAAATGGTGTCCAAAGTCCCTATATATCTTCCGATTTGCACGAAATTTGGTACAGCCTAATTATTTAGGTCTAGAATGATGTCTGCCAAGTTTCGTGCGAATCGGTCCAGATTTAGATATAGCTCTCATATATAGTTTCGTCCGATTTCTTGTAAATGGTGCTCCAAAGTCCCTATATATCTTTCGATTGTTTCGTCCGATTTCATGTAAATGGTGCACCAAAGTGCCTATATGTCCTTCGATTTGCACGAAATTTCGCATAACGTACTGACTTGAGCCTAGAGTGATGTCTGCCTTCTTTTGTGAAAATCGGTCCAGATTTAGATATAGCCCCCTTTTATTATAAATTGATTTTAAGTAATTGACGCACCAAAGAACAAATAGGAACAAAACGTTCTGAAATTAGTATAACCTAACCTGTGACAAGTTTGTTTGAAATCGCTTAATATTTGGTTAGAGCTTCCAAATATATATTTCCGCCCGATTTCAAGCAAATTGGACATCAAACTCCTCATATTGACATCAAATTTTGCACATCGTACAAAATTGAGCATAGAATAACGTAGTTGCGTTTTCTAGAAGTACAGACATAGCCCAACGGATGACCTATTTATATTTGTTTGAAGTCGATTTACATACTTTATGGATAGATCGAAGTAGATTCATATTTAGATAAATATCACATATTTTATTTCATCCAATTTCATGTTAATAGTCCTGTTTAATATACCCATAGTGGTGAAGGGTATCATATAGTCGGCCCCGTCCGACTTTACTACTTTCCTTACTGGTTTTTTTGTGTTTTTGTTCGATATGATCTGTAGGCTACAATTATAAGCCGAACATAACAACACAACTCACGGTGAAGGGAATATGGACAAGTAATTAGAAGGGCTGTACTGAATATTGGTAATATTCGGAAAATATGTCAGTGTAAGGAAGAGGTGCTGTTGACCTCTAATCGGTCAAGAGGGTGCAACTATCACGGAATATTACCCAGGCTCGGAATAAAAACCCGCAAAAAGATGGAGTTCTGTGTAGGGTATCGTATGGTCGGCCCTGTCCGACTATACTGCTCCGCTCACTGGTTTTTTTTAAATTGGTGCAAATGCAGACATAGCTTTTATATATATTATGAACGGGTGCATATGTATGGATTGATGTTTGTCGGTTCACATATAGATGAATATCACATTTTTAAGTTCGTTCAATTTCGTGTCAATGTTCCTTCGAAATTGCGGTGTCTATTAGGATACATATGTAGAATATACCCAAAGTGGTGAAGGATATCATATAGGCGGCCCAGTCCGACTTTACTTCTTTCCTTAATGGTTTCATCTTAATTATATATTAAAGACGCTTCAAAGCATCTACTTTTACTTTGAATTACACGAAATTGTGCATAACGTATTCAACTAATTAAAGAATGCATACATCATTCGAAGTTTCGTTATAATCAGTCTAGATTTAGATATAGCTCCCATATATAATTTCGTCCGATTTTATGTTAATTGTGCACCATACACCTTACTTCAGATTTCGATATAGCCCTCATGACTATTTTCGACCGATTTTATATTAATGGTGCACCAAACTCCCAAGGTTTGTCTGACAGAGATGATATTTCGAATAACGTACCGTATTGAGTCTAGAACCACATAATACCCAACGTGTGTTCGACTGGTACTCTGCTTTAAACCAGTTTAGATATAGATATCGCTCCCATATATATTTTCTCTCGATCAAATATAGCAAAACATGAACCTATAATATAACCTTCTATATTAATTCCCTATGATGTCATTCAAAACAAGTACAGACATTGTGGCGATAGTATCACATGATCGCGCCGAATCATCCGTGTTTATATTAAAACATTATTTCTCATAGGCCCAACAGCATGAGACATCTGGCAAACAGTAAACACTAAATGTACACTACAATTATGTATGTCTGTATATTATTTGCAATGTGTATAAAAAGCTATTTAGGGGAAATCTATTCCCAAAAAATTTCCATTTCAACCGATATGTTAGCAATTAGGAAATAATTATTTATACAAATTTATGTCTGGCATATGTCACTATGATGAACATTATTTGCCAAATGTCTAGCTTCGAAGGTTTATTTGTTTATGTTATTTAAGAAAAAAAAACACAAAACTAACTAAGTCTCGCATAAGACATGACAACTGTCAAATTATTAGCCAGACTTGAGAATTACATGTGGCAGTGAGCATAGATTTGTTTTTTATTTCCCCTTCTAAAAATACACTCACATGAGTGAATAAATTTCCAATATTTCCTTATTATTTACTTTATCTATTAAATCCCTTTTTCGATACATGTCTCATAGTTGTTATTTTTCTGGGCATTATTATTTTCAATTCCTCATATTGATTGTGTTAATTGATGTTGATTGATTTGTGTTTAAATACGCGTAAATATCTTAATACGGCTTTAATGTACCGATTTATTTGCATTATCACTTAACTCCAAAATGAGGTGTTAATTACCTCCGAATAGTCCGCTGATAAAGATGCTATAATTGAGTAATTAGCATTCACCAAATGTTTGCGTAGATTTTGAATGTTTTGATTTTTTCTACAACTACACGTGTTGCGGGCTCTATAAAATTTTATTGACAAAAAACGCAAACTCATGATCAAGGTAAATTTTACAACTTGTTTTTGTTCTAAGACATGTGATCATGATTGACAATTCACATCTCTTTGCAGTCAATTAATAAAAGTTGATGACAAATTTTGTCACATAATTCAAATTTAGGATTTTTCCACATCATAACAAAAACAATATGCAACGGGTATGTTCAAGGAGGATTCGACGTACGTCAAATTTTTGAGTTATGGCGTTATGAAATTTTGTAATTGACATTTTAATTCACGATGAAAAAGAGCGACTATTGCTGGTCATTCTTCTTCAGTCAAATCGAATGAGAAATACTTTAGTAAAACATATCCTTCTTCCATCTCGAATCTTTGAGCGTTTATTTCGTTCTTAATTC